TCATCATTTGTGAACTCGTTACCCAAATCCTTGCACGAGCGAGCGTATGTGGACAAGCTAGCCAGCCCCATCCCGATACGAACATGGCCTGACCACTTAAAACACCCATCTCTCCACAGACACCACCCCCTTTCCCGTTCCATGCCCCCCTCCCGCACTGCTCTGCGGCTCACAGTCTGTGTCTGGCAGTGTCCCTCTGATGGCCGGCCCTTGTTAACATGTGACAATACAATGCCGATCGCAGGCAAAAGGACTGCCAAGTGAGATTGCATATCTAGCGAAACACACAGGACGTGAGTGGCATTGGGGATCTGCGGGAGCGATGTGTCGTGCCAGCCACGGACGCCGGCTGACCACGGAGGAAGACGTCATCGACAAGAACGATGCCGTGACAGGCACGCCCAACGGTTCGACCGGCGAAGGACCGAGCGGAGCGCTGGAGAAAACCGAAGACGCATTCGAGCAGAAGAGACCCACGTCGAGACCCGGCGCTGCAAGCCCGGCTTCTGCCCGCGGAGCACCCTGCGCTGTGCGTCTGGACATCTGCGTCCCTCAGAGCTCCCCAGAGGCGTCTCAGTGTCCGGCGAGGGCTGTGAGCCGCGGCTTGTGTTAAACTGGGGGCCACCACTTCACAGGGGATGACGACGTTCCGAGGGGCAACCCCGATGTGCCTTGAAAACGAACCGACCGTTTACGGTTCTATGCCCTCAGGCCCTCGGCGGAACAGGACAGGAAGCCGCGATGCCTTTCCCCGAAGCGGGGGGTGGTGTTTCTGCTAAGTCGTGTGCTGGTCCAGCAGGACTTGCTCCCCTTGGCTCGGCTGGACCGCAAAGCTCCTGGTTTGGGAGCCACGTGGGGACCACGCCAGTCCTTTAGGTGGCCCCAGCTCCGAGGGTGAGACAGAGTTGGCCTTGGTCCTCGTGTAACCCAATCGCCTAGAAACCCCAGGGCCCCTGGTGCTGGAGGGACAGCGAGGAGGCCGCTGATGGACCCGCCGAACCTCCCCGAGCAGCCGCTTCCACCCCGCCGGCCTCCAACGAGCCAAGGCCTCCCTCCCAGCTCGAGCCTTTGCTGGTCTATAGACTCCGCAATGAGAATGCAGGTTCGAAGACCAGAATCTTCTCTGTCTGGACCACTAGTAAATTCCTGGGGCTGAAAACAGCTCTGGTGCACCGTGGGTGCTACATTTGGGGGGAAGGAAGGAAGGAAGGAGGGGGGAAAGGAAGGAAGGAAGGAA